TAAAATTATAGCTAATTATAACTAGAATTCTATAGATTTCATGCAAATTATAATAATCTCAAGTGAATTTAAAATAATGTAGAAATTAAAAGATGAAACAAAACAAATTATTCTCGCAATGATTTAAATCTAGATAAAAATGTTATGTCATATGTTTGTGAGAAAATACTAGTGACGCAATAAAATAGAGCTGATAACAATTTTCCTTGAAAAGCAAACTAATGTATAATTATGCACAGTTTATGCATTTTATGCACATATATTTAAGTTTACATCTTATTTAATTTAATAGTTTTATTAATAATAAATCATTTATATAATCATGTGGAGAAATATTTAAAAAACTGAAGATATAAAAAACTGAAGAAATAATAATTACATGAAAAATTTGTTTAAATTACATCTTTTGCAAAAAATTTGCTTTTAAATTAGTTTCAAAATAAAAATTAAATAAATTTCAAAATTTTAAAAAAAATAAAGCGAATTTTAAACAGATACACGTTTACGTTATTCTTTGCATTGCAAAATGTTCAATATAATAAATAATTTAAGATAAAAAGTTTTAAATAATACTGAGTGGAAAATAGAATATACATTCAATAGTTAAGATTACTAAAACAAAACACAAATAAACAATATAAATAAATACAATATAAAAAAGAAGACTATGATTAAATCAATTATATTTTTCAATAAATTAATTAGATAAAATTTAAATAAAAAATTTATTGAGAATGTCGTAACTTTAATAATAAAAGATTTTTTATTTACTATATTGCAGAGAAAAACATTCACAATGAAGCGCTGCATCTTATTACTTTGCATCGTGGCAATTCTTCAAGATTCTGAAGCGCTACGTAAAGGATCCACAGATTACGAAGGTTTGCTTATATAATTTTTATATTATATAATAATTAACAACCATTCAATTTAGATCCTAAATTTTTTAAATAAGCGCTAAATATAAATTTAAGATTTCACGTTTTATGATTTTTTATAATTATAATATTGTACATTATAAATTTTATTATATAAAGAATTCTCAAACATGTGACACATATCATTCGTTAATAGATCATCGGAAGACAGCAGATTGTTTTTATTGTTTAAATCAAATTTACGTAAAATTTGTCTTATCGTAGAGAATTGATAAAATAATCATGGTGCAAAGTTCCTTTATCAATCATTGTTGATACTATATGTCTGGGTATGTCTAAAATTTTTACGCATCGATATTGTTCTGTTAGATAACTGGCTGTTTATAAATGTATATAAAAACAAGTTATCAACGTTAAACTATATTTCATAAAATAGCTTTAATCAATACACAATTGTCCATTAAATAATGGAACAATTATCTTGATTTATAAATTTTATATTCCGATATTCAGAAAATATAATAGATAAATATATATATATATATATATATATATATATATATAATGTCGAAAACTTAATCTATACACATTGCTCAATATCATTAATCTTGATTAATTAAATATTTTTTTATTTTGTCACATCTGGAAAATGTGACTATATTAACATTTTTAAAATATCATTTAATATATGGCATAGTGTTCTCTTTTATTAGGTTTCTTTTTAAATGTCCCTCAAAAATGTTTTCAATATTTCTTTAAACTCAATTTTCAATTTAATTTTATTTCCGTTTTATCATAAACAATCGATATTCTTTGGCAACAAAGCGAAATCCTGATCTCTCATCAGATATGTCCTTCTGGCTGAAGTCCGGCCAAGAGACCTTGCATAGAATCCTTGCGCAACAGAAGAATGAAAATCGTGCCAAAAACGTGATCATCTTCATCGGTGACGGTATGGGCCTATCCAGCATCACGGCCGGCCGAATTTATATAGGTCAGCTCAACGGTCAAACGGGTGAAGAATATCAACTCGCGTTTGAGAAGTTCCCCTACACCGGTCTCGCCAAGGTAGACATTGAAATTGGATTGATCGCGCTTTCAATCTCAACGGTAGTCTCGTAAGGCGCAACGATGTTGGGAAATCCCGTCACGTTAAGCCGCTTAATTCCGCGCCTTTGATAAGGACGCCACGTCTATCGTCAAATAGAGAAAATACGATAAATGTGATGCTTGCGTTACAATTATCCTCGTTGATCTTCTGATCGCTCGTCAAATGCGAAAATTCGTCCACTTATGTTATGCATCCATGTAAACGATGCAATTAACGTATTTATTATACATCGGAAACAATGACGTAATATTAATTGTAACATATCGACAGAATTTCGTGTTTGATAAAATTTAGCTAATTAGATCAATGATATTAACAATGCATAAAAGATTATTGCCTTAGATTGTTATCAAGATTGTTATTAGATTATGCATTAAATACAAATAATTTATTTAACTGTTGTAAATGCATTTCTAGACTTACAATGTAGACAAGCAAGTGCCGGATTCCGCGGGAACGGCTACTGCTATATTTTCTGGTGTAAAAACCAAGTACAGACTTATTGGATTGGACGCAAGAGCCCAATATAATAAGTGCGACAAGGAAATCAATGAACTTAGCAAATTGACTACGGTAGCCGATTGGGCACAACAATCCGGCATGGATACTGGTAAGAGTCTTGATCTTTGAACATCATATTTTTAGAAATTTATTTCAATTTTTCGTGTGTTAGTTAAATAATAATTTATATTTAATGGTTACATTGAACATTTATAGTCAATTGTGAGATATAATATTAACAAAAAGCCAAATTAATACATTCCATAATTACGACAGTATAGAGAAGCACCGCTCCATTAGCTCACAATTATTAAAGCCATAAGGAAACTGTTTTAAGAGAGGAAGTTGTTATGATTAAACATTTCGTTTAATCACAACATCGAATTACAAGCAACTTTCCACTAGGAGTGAAATCTCGAACTAAGAATTCGACCGTGATAATAGGCTGTCGTTAATTGTCATTTGAAACTTCGTTCGGTTAATAAATTTTGAATAGGAAACGTAATCCATAACTTACACAACACGACGAGGTTAAACCTTGACATAAATTTGCACTTCAGATTTAAATATCTCATATTCTTGAAAACCGAAGAAATCGAAGAAACAGAAGAAACAGATTAAAAAGTCTCATGCATCACCGATTGTAATCGATCGGATTAAACTGTTGACTAAGCAAATTTTTCTACACGATGCGACATTGAGTGAGATAATGAATTTATCAAGTTTTTATTGATATCTAGCAAGTTTATGCGATTAAATTCAATTGTACGTATTATCATATTGTCTATAAATTCAAAGTATAATTTCAATGATTTTTTTAATAATTTAATAAATTTTTTTCTTGCCGATACTTATATAATTTATATTTTATTTTATATATTTATATAAAATAAAAATTGCGAATGTAGTAATTTTACAAAATATGATTTAATTTTGCATATCTCGTATTTAATTACAATTTATATTGGATTAACAAGTGTATTATTGTACATACAATTTATATTGGATATTGTACAATACAATTTATATTGGATTAACAAAAGTATTATTAATATTTCTAAGCTAATATCACAATAAAAAATTTTAAATATATAAACTATATTTTTAATAAAGTTTAATATTTATTTTTGTTATTTTCATAATTAAACATTTTCCAAACAAAAGCTTTATTTTGCATTTATTTTGCATAACTTATTAAATCTGAGTCGAGGAAGCTAGTATTTTTTTTTAACATTTTAAACTATTAAGTAAGTTTTAGAAACCGTATTCAAACGTATGAATATCGCACCCACATAATACAGAGATTGTATCAATTCCGTGGAGAACACGTGTCACGCGTGATCGGCTATTTCATTAACATTAAGTGTTCGTGTTAAGCGTGCTCGGACCTCGTTGAAGTCATGCATAGTGAAAGTATGCTCAATAAACGAGGAGGTCGTACGTCGACCTTCTACCGTGTCGCTGACAATCGATCGACCGTGACTGATTTCTACTTTGGCAAAATAATGGAAATTTTTTAATACGATGACTCGCTGATTAGTATTAGTATTAGTATTTAAGACGTTCGTTTCCCACTGTAAGTTGGCCTTTGCCTTCATGATCGTTTCTTTGTTATTTCTTTCTTTGTTACACTTAGTTAGTGTAATGCATTGCAATGCGCGCAAGAAATCAACAATATTTGCGCATCAAGATACTGAATATCTTATTCGGGGGGGGGGGCTTTAATAATGTAACATATGTATTGTATATATACTACATTTTATTTAAAATTCTAACCTTTGAAATATTATTAAAATTTCGATTATAATCATTGTCATATTTAGTAAACAAATTCTAGAAATAATTTATATATGTATTAACTAACAGGATATGTCACCAACACCCGCATCACCCATGCTACTCCCGCGGGACTTTACGCACATATCAATCATCGAGATTGGGAGTGCGATAGCGCAATTCCAAAGAAACAGCGACTTTGCGCTAAAGACATCGCGAGACAGCTTATTGAGGATGAACCAGGAAATCAATTCAAGGTAATTTATCATTGCACACCTTCGCATTTATAAATCAATGTAATTCTAAATCTAGCAATTTGATAACAAAGAGAAATAATGTTAATAATAATAGATAAAATACAATGAAATATAATAAAGAAGAAATTATTATAGTACCGCTAAAGAAAATAATCTTTACAATCATAAATAAAAATATCTCTTTACAATGTCAAATATACAATACATCTATTGCTTATTAAATTTGCTTTACTTTATAATATCTTTTTTAGAGACGCGACATCTCATTTTGGATTCAAAATAATCCAATGTTATTAAATTTAACTTTTCTGAACCTTTTGAAAGGTTATCTTGGGTGGCGGAGCACAATACATGGGCATGAACGTAGAACCGATTGATCCCCAATCCTGCTTACGCTCTGATGGCAGAAACTTAGTAGAGGAATGGCAAGCGAAACATCCCAAGGGAAGGGCCGTCAATAATACGCAAGATCTCATGTCCATTGATATAAGTAATACATCACACATTCTTGGTGTTTTCTCGCCTAATCATATGCCTTTCCACGCTGTAAAGAGCCCTGAGATACCTTCACTGGCGAATATGACGATGCAAGCCATAAGATTGCTCAAAAAGAACAAAAATGGATTCTTACTGATGGTTAGTAATTGTCATTGAATTTGTACTGAACGTAAATTATATTGTTACGCGAAAAGAGTATTATCCGATACGCTTACATGAATATTAAAATGACATTAATGAAAAAAATCGAACACATTAAGGGATCTGAATCGACACTAATGTGATTCTTATGCAAATTGCATGTTAATGACCATTTTCGTGTAATATGTTCTAGTCATTTATTCCTAAGTTCTATCTTCCCGGATACATGTCGAGGTCATGTTACTTGAGCATATGATTTTATATCCAAGCGTCATGATCCTGTTCTATTTTCAAAGTATTGCAGAGAATGATACCAAATTGTAATATTAATCGATCTGGCAATTTTTCTCTTTTTTAATTAGCTTTTAACTTTTCAGGTCGAAAGTGGCAAGATCGATACAGCTCATCATAATAATTGGGCGAAATTGGCATTACGTGAGTTGTACGAACTTGAGGAGGCAGTCAAAGTGGCTTTACGACTGTTAAACATAGAGGAAACATTAATCATCGTTACAGCCGATCATTCGCATTCGTTTACATTAAACGGATATCCCAATAGAGGCAATGATATCCTCGGTTTCGGCAACAGAAGCGCTGATTTGACACCCTACGAGACGCTCTCCTACGCTAACGGTCCAGGATTCTACTATCATCGAAGAAATGACAGCCACAACGTCAACGAGACCTGGAGAAAAGTCGAAGAGGATCCGACCCGCAACGATCCTTTCTATATGCATTTTGCCGGCAAATATCTCAAGGATGAGACTCACGGTGGAGAAGATGTCGGGGTTTATGCTATTGGTAAAAACCATTATTTCCTAATAAACTTTATATTTTATTTTTGCTTGAAACTAAAAAGTTAAAAAAAAGCTTTATTCTATATGTACGATATCAAGAAATGTATTTTGTTTTTGCAGATGAAACGAATTAATATGAAATTACATTTTCACTTACATATTAGCTTATTTTTGTGAATAACAAATTTGGGAAATAATGAAAAAAAATGATATCTTTTGCAGGCCCCTATTCGCACTTGTTCCGAGGTACTTTTGAACAGAATTACATTGCTCATGCCGTGGCGTATGCGGCATGCTTCAAAGACTGGCCGTCTCATTGTGACAGCGCTTATCATCGTTACTTTTACGAAGTTAATTTGGCACCACAAAACGGCAAGACAAATTCAGCGGGACGAAACGTTATATCGCTCGCGGCTGTAATAACCTTCCTGTTTACGACAATTTTTATACTGCGACTGTGACATTTTCTTTTTATAACCAAATAAATTATGATTGCACCGTAAAAAGATTTTATCTCGTGAAATTAATAATATACAAGTAGAAAAATAATATTTATTTAATAAGTTTTATTCCGCCTCTACTGAGGAAATTCTCTAATTGCAAATTTTGATATATGAATAGTATAATGCAACGTGCTTTCTTTTGCAAACCTGCAGTTTTTTAATAAGTTGGACTTTAATAAGTTGTGATTGCAAATATCGTATACGACTTTTTTTGTAATTTACATTGCACAGGCAATGTAAATTACATTTTGATTATGTATTATTTTCTCTAATTTCATTTATTATATAACGATATTTAGAACTCAAATAATTCTGATTAGAATGATGATAGATTATCATTGATGATAGATCATGAATTTCATTTTAATATGAGTAACATGATCATCTTTTTTGCTTATTAGAACAATGATGACGGATTTATTTTTAATTATGAAGAAACTTATTTGTATATTAATATACATTTATAATATTTTGAAATAATATATTGTTATGTCCGCGCGAGTCTTCTGCGGTCGAGTGGAGTCGAGTCGCCGTTTGGAATAGAAGCGAAGCGGGGCAACGGTTGTTGTTTACGAAGAAGTACGGCGCGGTGACTCGTGGCGTACAGACGTGTGTCTGCAAAATTATTGTTGTTGATTAATTTGAATAAAGATTACATATTTTACTAAACGGCGTTGTTTATTGCCGAGCGCGGCTTCCTCGCGGAACGCGCGTTTAGTGAGAGTATCAGTGACCGCCGCGGACGTAACAATATAATATAATAGAAAAGTGCGTCTAATAGCTAAATGTCCATGTCCATGATCTAATATACAATCTAATGTTTAGAACAGAAATAATATTGTTGAATTATTACGAATGAGATTCTGTCTAATATTATAATTTTTCCTACAGTGAAATTTTACAAAACCTATAGGAGATTACAAAAAATGCAGAATAACTGTTATAAAAAAATCGCGTTTTTTAAGATATATAAGAAAAATAAAAGTTTTTTTTTATGTACTTTGACATGTTGCTTATATACATATAAAATAAATATAAATATATATTATGTATATATATATATATATATATATCACATCGCGATATATTTCGTTATAAAATAATAACACATCTTCCAACCTGATACCTCAAACAATTATGTGTAAATTATAATATAATTATGGTTGGAATAAAGTTCCTCATTATGTTGTTTATAAGTTTTATATCATAATAATTATATAAATATATAAGTAAGACAATAAATTACTTAGATTTATTATAAGTAATAACATGATTTATTTGAAGTTCAGCGATTGTAATGTGATAACAAAAATGATTGTATTTACAATATACATACATTAAATTTGGCAACTCACTAATTTTGACTTTACGTATAACAATCCTTTTAGAAATTTTTTTATACGTTTACGTTTACGTAAAATATCAGTAACGTTAATAATTAAGAGAGGTATAGATATAAACATAAAAAAATTTAGAAAAAATTCTTAAATTCTTCAAAAACTGAATGCAAAATAATTTCCAAGAAAAAAATTCCTTTCAAATTTATGATTTTCCTTTAACAATAGCAAAATAATAATTTTTATAGATCAGTGGCGCTGTATCATCGCTGACAAAATTTCTGTCGGGCTTGATCGAGGCAAATGGATTTCTTTGTGGCTCCAAAATCGTTTCCACCTCGGCGATCGATTTTATTCTTGTCATTTCTTGAGGAATTTCCTGTTTCGTGTAAGACGTCACACAAATGGGAACTTTTGTTTTACAGAATTCTCGTATTGTTTCTGGCCATGTGTCTTTACCCTCAAAACCAGTTTCCCGATAAAGACCCGGGTTAAAGAGACATATAAGATGAGGTTTTATAAACTGTTTGGAATGACAAAAATCATGATAAAGTTTTCCAGGATGAAATGAAACATTTATTCGTCGACGGGACGATTTGCAAAATGAACAGAGTTTTACAGCAGCCAACAGATCCAATGGTACTGATGACGGCAGATGTAATTCTGGCCCAACGAACATCAATTTGAGATACTTTAAATTTGAAAGAAGATGCAGAAACAGCTTTTCCCACACATGCAAATTTATACATTCGAATTGAAATTCAGCACCTATTATATGAATTACGAAAGTATCAATAGTTTCCCAGCTCTGACAAGAAACTTGCATGGAATATAAAGCTGTCAATGGAATGGTTGATATATGAGACAGAGTACAATATGTATAACAATCCATGTTACAATAATATGTCGAGCGACTGTAAAGCTGTACCATTAATTGATCAAAATTACTCGACAAATGAAACGGTTCTTTCCGGAAGATATCCGGTAATTCAGGATCTACATAACCATTTTCGTGTTGCATGAACAGCATCCTACAAAACACTTGAAACTCTCGACATTCTTCGTGTCCGTCATTGTGATTTTCACAAAATAAGCCGATTCCACATGTCGCGCAACATTTCAAAGTCATCGAAAAGCAACGGCACTTGCAACAAACGCGAGGATAAAGAAGGATCTCCTTTTCCCAAAGCTGAAGAGGTCTATTCAAGTGACATTGCACGATGTCGATCAGTTTCAGCCGATAAACGCGATAATCGTCTGCAGTGAGTTCCGATAAGAGCGACAAGCCACCTCCAATCGTACAGACTTCAGTGAGAACTTTGCATAGATCGCGATGTTTTAATCGATCCTGCTTCTTGTGTTTTATGGAGCAATAAGAAACCATACCACAAGACTCGCAGATCTCATCTGACCGTTCCATGCAGATCAGACATAAGTTTGACACGAAGACAAGACGTGGCCAAAAGTTTAATTCAACAGTGTCTTCTTCTTCATCGCTGTCGTCTGTCGGCCGATGATGCATCGAATACACCAATGGCAATTTCAAACGCGAGTAAATGTCAATCGCGGTTTCAGCAATGAAAAGATTTTCTTCTCTTTTCTTCATTTCTTTTTCATCCAACTTTGATTTTTCTGCTATCTTATTCTCGCAAATTTCTTGAGTAATGCTTGAGATTTTTTTCGGATTTTTTTTTCTACGACCCATCATCAAAAAACTGAAATAACAAAGTGAAATAAATACAACAAATGTAGATTTTTATAATAAACAAATAGAATTAATTTGTTTTGATTAAGCAAGCACAATTTTATTTACAATGATACTATGTTTTAAATTATATATGAAATAATACAAAAAAATTTCTTAAATAAAAATACTTGTATTTATTTGAGAGCTATTGAGAATTATATAATATACCGGTGTTACGCATACGAGTATTTTAGAGTTTCAAGCACGAATACGATTGATTACATAATAGCATCCCGTCAAAGAATACATGTAAATCATTATTTTAGAATATTACAACACGGAGGTCACACGTACTGTAATTAACAAACCAGGTATACCATAAACGCTAATAATTAAATCCGATCACGACAGGAGCTCTTTACTTGCATTTAATGACCTATTCTATATTTATTGAAAAGAGAAGACAATTATCTCTCGATTTAGCATACCGTATTCAATTATATATTACATTATTATCGCAACGAGACATTCATTTGCAATTTCAAATGTATCTCAAATGCATTACTAATATCACTGCCCTTCGCACATGTTAATGAAATAAATCGCAATCAAATAATAATTGGCGTAATAGATAAATCGAATTATTAAACATTTAGATACTTACCTCTACAAATTTTTTACTTTTCTTACGTAAACCTCGTTTTAAATCCTCAAAAATTGTATATACAATACAAGCGTTGCGTGCAATATACACTGTGCAGCGTATTTTACCGATTATTTTACCGATGATTTCGATAGTTTTCTTTGTGACTTAGAGAAGCGATTCACCTCTGTCACAATTTGATTTTCCCTCGGCTCTTGAAGAGCACAGAGACGCCTCAACTGTTCAAGGCATCGTGAAGTATTATCAGGGCCTCGAGTACCTCAATGGGCACTATGCCTAGTTGCCCAGGCATAAGGTATTTCAAGCACTACATACTGGCAATGAGATATTCGAGGACAAATAGTTGAACACGAGCGACTGTCTCGAGAAAAAGAAAGTGTGGCATCTTTTGAAGAAATCGATACGGTAACTAATATTATAAACGGTAATATAACTTTGACATCTCAATTTGTAAACATAACACATTTAGTACATCTGACATGAATAATTGACATGAAGCTTGTATATGCTATGAATTAAGATAAGTCCGTGCTATATGCCCTACGTATATAAACTATTATTAACGTTATAGAAGATATGACGAAACGTCGCAAATGCAAATTTATTCTATTGCTTTCGACGTGCAAAGCGCACATGTCGCGGAAATGATAATAAGAGATTTAATACGATAAATAATTATGATTACACGTATGTATATATATATATATATATATATATATATAA